AGCAGAGGCGTGTGTGTGTCTGTGTGTGTGTGAGGAGGAGACGCGCCTGTCTGAGCATCATCTGGTAGCTGTTCCAAGCTACTCCTGCACGGCGATGATACACAAGCGATTCTTTTCATCTGTGTGTGAAAAGCTGAAGCTTCGAGGATGATGATGACGATGACGAAGATGCCATTTCCAGTCCGGCTCTGATAGAGACAACGAGGCGCGCAGCACGTGACTGGACCCCTAGAAAATCTAGCTCTCTCTCACCTCTCCTCACCTCTCCTCCGCTTCTGCACCTTTCTCCCCCCTCCATACTTTCTATCTCTCACCCCTCTCCTCCTCCTCCCTCCTCCTCCACCACCACCACCCCTGGAGCCGCTTTTTTTTTATTCTGATCAGTTGATAATCCATCTGTGATTCAGATAGCCACCCACTCCCCCCCCTCCACCCTCATCCTCTGCTTTATTCAGCCTTACATCCTCTTAATAAACATTCCCCCTCATTACACACTCACTCGCAAAAGCATCCACACCACCTCCACCTCCAGCCACCATGGAGACGACCAAGCTGCCTCCGTCCAGCCCGTCCTCGCCGACCACCAGCTTCTCGGTGCCGTCCGCGGAGAAGGTGGATGGCTTCCCGCGAAGGTCCATGCGCAGGGCCCGACAGAGGAGGTCCCACAGCTCCTCTCAGTTCCGCTACCAGAGCTCCCAGGTGGAGCTCACCCCGCTGCCCCTGCTCAAAGGTGAGGCTCTGATTCCCCCAAAGCAGCCACAGATCAATGTGAGAAACAACAGCTGGAACATGTGACACTGAGAAAGCTGTGACAGTAAAAGGTCACAGTCAACTATCTGTGTTTGCCTTCATTGCTCACCTACATGACTAAAACACAACACACACACATATCCACTGACTGGTTTCCACTTAAACATGCTCTCCTCTCAGTCCTTGTCAGGTCTGACAGGCGGAGGTGACGGTGGTGGATTTGGTTTATTTAACAGATCTGCTGCCTGTCTTCTTTTGGATATGTAAAAGGCCTGTTGTTGTTGTTTTTGCTGTTGTTGTTATTCTTCTTCTCCTCTGTGCTGGGACAAACAGTCCTTTTCATTAGCAGTTAATAGATTAACATGTGTCATGCATATTTGCCCCCTCCTGTCAAATGTCAGAAACAAGTGAAAAAATGACCATCGCAGTATTTCACAGCCAAATAATAACAGAATCAGTTTAAGGTCCTTTTAAAGCAGCAGTGAATTTTTGCAGTGGAGGAGCAGAAGTAGTCAGTGCATTGAATCATCGTTGCATTTCTGTCCTTTAGGTGGTTTTGAGATGTGACTGTTTCTCAGTCAGGTGACAGTGAAGTGTCTGTTTTTTTGTTTCAGACGAGCTCTCATCGGACCGTATGCTTGCTTTTGAGCTTTTTTATAATTTGTCTTTTGTTTTCTTGAAGATGAATGAAATCACTTCATTTGCATTGACCACTTTCACCCACACTAAGCAAACCCATCCAACATGTGCTTGTCTTCTTGATTGGCTGATAGTGGGGTGGGGCGGGGGAGGATGAGAGAAGAGTCTCTCCATCATGAGGCCTCTCCCCTTGACGGTCACTGTCGGTAAGACTGCCTCGGTAAATAAACCTCGGGTTGTAAAATCTGTGAAACCCCAAAGATGTTGACATTCAGGCTGGTGCAGCATCCACCATGAAGGCAGGCAGAGCTGCGCTATTTGCAGGTCTGTCGTTGCCATAGCTGTAATCCCAGAGCTGCAGTTACTACACAGAGGCCAATTTGATCTGTGCAGGCGTGTTGTGGCCTTTTAGATTCAAGCCCCAAGGATGCAAAAGCACCACCCTGCGTATCCTGTATATTCTACCTGCCTGGGTGAAGCCTCCTGGTCAAGCCACTAGGCATGGCCTGCTTTACGTGTGCATTAATGTTTGCGGTGGCTAAATGTTCAAACATTGTTTCTGTTTATCTTTTATAATGAAGATTTGTTTCCTAGCCCAGCCTGGAATTGGTGCATCCCAACATCATACTATGGAAAACCTGTGATTGGATTAGCTAAACGAATATGCAGTGGACTGTAAAGTAAAACAAAGATAATAAAGTGAAGCAAATGCATGGATTCATGGATGATAGTATTTTCTGAATCCAGCTGTGAGCTTTTGCTGATGTCTTTGGTTTGTGGATGCTTGGTTTGGTTCTTGAACAGTAACGGGCGTAAAAAGAGTTCACTGACATTATGGCTTTTCTATAAACGTGCTGCAGCATTGATTTCATGCACAGGTTCTGTAACAGCAGATATTTTCTTGCTAGGCTTTGTGTTTAGGCAGCGAGTACACGTTAGAGCTGGCCAGATCAATAAATTTGTACTTTGCTTCACTCAGTCAACAAACCCCATCGCTTCATGTTCCGTCCTTTTTATATACGTTCTTGCTCTTCTCTGGCTTCGTGGCTTTACTCCTGTCTCTCTCGCTTGCGTGTACAGTACAAAAGCAGGTTGCATGTGCTCGTGTGTCCTTCTGACCCTTCTTTATAAGGTTACTCTCCCTTTCACTTAGCCTGCAATCTCTTCCCATTAACCCTCTGAAAAGAAGACCTCTGTGCTTTCAGAGGAGGCATGAGGTGTGTGCGCCTGCGTTTTAACTTCTTCTGAAGCACGTGAGCGAGGGGTGTGTGCAGCAAGGTGATAAGAGGTTTTTACCGCATCAGTACAGCGCCTTTGGTTGAGGTGGGTCTCTGCACATGTCCTGTAGAAGTCCCAGTTACTGCACTACTGCTGCTGCACTGTTTCTGGACCCCCTTGAGGAACTGATAGTAAGATTCTGCAGCAGGAGAAGCGTCTGGTGTGGGGAAGTCTCTAACGGGCAGTATGTAGGCCAAGTGTAGACAGACTTGTGGGTGTTTTTCCCTCCAGGGAGTCACATTCTCTTTGTTAATTTGAACTCCTCCTCCTGCTTATTGCACTCGAAGCTCTGAGCAAAGCTTCATCTCATTCTTGTGACATGACAGAAATGAAACTGGAAGGCCTGACATTTAACAGCAAACTAGAATATGTCATAAAAATACACATTATTAGCAGTGTTTAAGCTGAGCAACAGTCAACTATCCTGGCTCACACAGAAAGCCCCCAGGTTGGATTCAAACCTAGACCCTTCTTGTTGTGGGGCAACAGCGCTAACCTCCCCACCGCTGTGCTGCCTCTGTGGCTGTTTCTGTGTTAGTTTTGTAACAGTCTGTTTGTCCGGGATGTCCTTCACCTCTCGCCCTGTGGCATCTGGGGTAGGCTCAAGCACCCCCACAACCCTGATTTGGATCAGTGGGATGGATGGATGGCTTAGAGCAGAAATATAGAGAACCAAGGACTTTTTTAAAACATGTGCCTGATTTTGCTTCAAAACAACTTATTTGCACATGGAACCGTCTATTTTCACTAAAAGCTCTCAGTGGCTTAAAGCCAACTCTCTTGTTAGTGGTATTCAAAAGGCATTTCAATGAAAAGTGAGTCACTAAATGTAAAATAGCAAACGTACAAAAGGCAGGTTTTGGGAAATCTGAATGAAAAACAACATTTTCAACTGAGTTCAGAGATTATGAATGACTGGACAGCAGGAATGATCTAACAGCGTGTCTTTTTCAGGTCAGAAGCCTTAAACAGGCCAGTCCTCTGGCCTCTTCCGATCCACAATCTGCAGTATTATCGTGTAAAGTTCCTCAAGCTGTTAGCTGATCTCTGAGAGGTTAATTTCCTCACTGACCATATTAATGGTCCCTTTTAGCATGGAATCCATTCATAGTTTTGCGATCTGAGTAGCCTGTGAAATATATCTGTCTTAAAAATATCTTTTTTGGTGGGTTAGACGAAAACAAAGTTCAGTCCAGAATCAGTGCAGATCTCTAAGAACAGCAAGTGTATCGAGGTGGACATCAAATGTCTGGAAGTTGAGTTGTATTTGGACTTTTATTGAGTCACGTGGGATGGAGGGAAATGATTATCACAGTTATTTTGATCAATATCAATCACTAAATATAGTGCAAAAATGCTTTTACTTCACTGTCATGTAAACTGTTTGCACATCCATTTGCTGCAGCATTCCTTTGCAGCAGAATAAATTTGCTCCTCTTTATTTATCTAAATTCAGAGCATCTCATTGAAGAAAAATATGAAATATAAATTGTTCCAAAGCTTAATGCAAAATTAAATCAACAGAGCTGCTTCACTTTAACACTGTGCTGCAGTCCTCAGTTTATCTTTGCAGACGAATGTGTCTTTGTGCGTCTCCCAGAAGCAAAATACATTCGTGGTGCCTGCACAATCAATGTAAAAATAAACTTGAAACTTGTGTATGCCTTTCCACTTCTCCTGTGATCTTTCCCATCAGCGCAGGTTTGCAGAAAAAGGCGAAAACATCTTTTTTGTCCAGTGTCTTGACCATTTTGCTGAAGTCGTCGTTACTTACTGATTATCAGTCACGTATTGTGCCATATCTTGCAAACTGGGATGCGATTGCTTTACTGACTTCAGTTCAGACTTCATCTTTGTGGGTGGTGTTGACACGCCGACATGCTGTGCAGCCTCCTTTTCCTGGACGTGCGAGTTTGTGTCGGATGCTGCGCCGTTTCTCTTTGGCCTCGTGCACTGGTTCTGCTGCAGATTGTGGCGTGTTTTTAGACGGCTGACTAACTTGTGTTTCTTTGCAGTGCAGCCACGTGGCGCCCTTATGATTTCTTCTTGGTTAACGTCTCTTGCCCTAAATTTGAATTATTTCCAAACAACAGATGACGATCTGCTTCAAGGGACAAGCTCTTCACCTTCTGCTGTGCCACAAATTTGAATTTTGTGTCAGTGCTGTGTTATCTGTTGCATATCACGGAGGTCAAGTGCGCACAGGGAACTCCACACTGTGCGGTCCAGGGAACAGCTGTGATTGGCACATGCAGGCACAGTATCAGGCGCAGATTTAGGGAGCGCTTGATTTGCCTTTGCTTTGCGTTTTGCTGGCAGAGCATGCAGTTTTAGTATTGCTCAGTCATTTTTTTTTATTTTAATGAACCAAAATTGTGATTGAGATTAAAGCTCAGCTGTCTAGCCCTACTTGGAAGTGGGTTGCAAAGCAGCTTGCAATTTTTAAGCAGTTCTAGACCTGCTAAAGCAGTTTATATAACATACAATTTACAAGTTACATTATTAGATGTGTGGACAGGTATCAGCTAATCTAAGGTTGCTGGATTTTAAAAAAAATGCTGGCAATGGACAATAATTAGCACCACATAATGATGCTGTAATCAGTCATATTACAGTTTTTCTCCATTGGTTTGGCTCATTTCTTGAAACAGAAATTACATTCTCAAAACTCTAAGATCATTTGGCAAAACACTCTTACAGTTTAGCACAACACTATAGCTCACCTGCAAAAGCTCATATCTCTTCCAAAACTGTTCACTCAGGCTTCAATCTAAATCCCTTTCTCATTTAAACAGTCAGTGTCTCCAAAATGGCAAAGATCCTTCTCAATAGCTTTGGCTCATTTCTCGACACAGATCGGACATTCTCATCTCATCATTCTTGGTGCTTCTGTCAAAATAAACCTGGATGGTTGATCACAACAACATGGTCCACCTGCAAAAGCTCATATCTCCCCTAAAACAGT